TATAACCAACAGGTCAGCAAGCTGGAGAATTCAAATCTTGATTCTAGGCCTCCACCAAGCCTACCCCCACGCTCAGGACAATTATCACAGATCCCATTGGCCCATACCCTGCACCCCCCCCCCTACACCCAGCCCCAAGCTCAGAATCCTCTCCTGCACCCCAGTCTCCCGACCTGGGTGACAACCCTTTCACCCAAACTCCCCCTCAGACACCACACCCTCTCCTGCACCCCAGCCCCCTATCCCAAGCTTCCTTCTGCACTCAACCTTTGTCCCAAAGCCTGTACCCCTACATAGGAAAGTGCAGTCTGTGACCGCTCACCAAAATCTTGGAGTGGCCCCCATGAAAAATTATTGTCCACTCCTGCTTTAGGTCAACACTGTCCTTTCCTTTCTATTACTTTATGCCTGGTTCTGGTCTGCTAGCTTCAGAGAGTAGCTGAGTTAGTCTGTACAGGATAAACTTGAAAAACAACAAATGGTCTGGTAGCACTTTATAGACTAACAAAACATGTAGATAATCTCCTGAGCTTTCGTGGGCACAGCCCACTTCTGTTCTACTAGGGTATGTCTACACTACCACCCTAGTTCAAACTAGGGTGGTAATGTAGGCAACCGGAGTTGCAAATGAAGCCCGGGATTTGAATTTCCCGGACTTCATTTGCATAAAGCCAGGCGCCGCCATTTTTAAATGTCCGCTAGTGCGGACTCCGTGCCGCGCGGCTACACGCGGCACGGACTAGGTATTTCGGACTAGGCTTCCTAGTCCAATCTACCATTACTCCTCGTGAAGCCTAGTCCGAACTACCTAGTCCGTGCCGTTGTCCGCACTAGCGGACATTTAAAAATGGCGGCGCCCGGCTTTATGCAAATGAAGCCCGGGTTAAATCCCAGCTTCATTTGCAATTTCAAATGTCTTCATTTGCATCCCTCTCTCGAAAGAGGGTGCAAGTGTAGACATACTATATCAGGGTATGTCTACACTACCACCCTAGTTCGAACTAGGGTGGTAGTGTAGACATACCCCTAGTGATTTTTACATGATGCTGGTGAATCCAAGACAAGTTTTGCAGCCACAGAATCGGTCCAGGAGCATTGATTGTTCCATTATAGAGGTTCATTTTGTAAAGGATTAAAAATGAAATACTCTCTTCGCACGAGTATCAGAGGGGTAGCCGTGTTAGTCTGAATCTGCAAGAACAACCAGAGGTCCTATGGCACCTTATAAGAATGTCTCTTCGAACAGACTCTGTCAGCATAACACTCACAGGTAATTAAAAATTAAACATTTGAAAGTCTGAATTTAGTTTTCTTTAATTTAAGCCTCTTCTGCATTTCACTCAGCTTGGACATTGGCCATAGACTAATCTCTTTCACTTTGGGGTGAATTATTTCCCTTCTGGGTTCTGATGCACCAGGGAAATGTTATTGTATTGGGGACTCTCAGTTCTAGAGATTCCGATTAAGAGATTTCGTTTCACTGATATATTTTTAAATCAGCGCAATTGTTTTTAATTCATTTGTCTGACCTTCTTTTTTTCCCCCTTTTTAAAAATAAATTTTAAAAAAGCAGAAAGATACATTTTAGGTCCAAGACTAGTATGCAGTGTCCCTTTAAAGGCAGGATTTTCGTCATCTCCTGGAACCTGGTATTTGACATGAAGGGCTGGGGTATATGGAAAATTCTCCTGACAGAAGCAGTATTTTTCCTTTATGATGATGGGCCTCACACTGTGCCTCTAATAAGAAGTGTTTCCTGCTGGGAATCTGACAAGATTTGTAAAGAAACATAACAGTTGCCTTAGTGGGTGCCCCTCAACCATGAAAGATGAGCCCTCTAACCACAAGGCACAGACAAGAATGTTTACATAAAGTTAGTAGCTGCCTGGCTAAGGAACATAAATTATCATGGGGCTCTATGCCTGCAGAAAGAGGGAAAGGACCCAGCATGCCGATGAGAGTTCTGAAGATCCTGCCAATCTCTCTCTCTCTCTAATTTATCCAAGTTCCCAAGCTTAGAAACAGAGCAGGTTCAGGTGTAGGGAGGTGATCAGGGCCGCCGAAGGTGGAAGGGATGCGGGCAAAGGGGGTAGTTGTCCTGGGGGCCGACAATTTAAAACAGCCTGTGGTTCCAGGCTGCTACTGCAGTGGCAGCAATAGCTGGAGCCCCTGGCCCTTTAAATCAACGCCAGAGCCCCACATGGGATGGTCCAGGCAGTGCTGAAGGCTGGTTGGGGGAAGTTAACCCTAGTCCCGTCCCTTCCACCTGAGGCCACGCCCCTTCTGGACCAGGGCCCAACGAAGTCTCTCACCATCCCTGAAGGTGATATTTCAAACGATGGCAAACACATATATGCATTGCTCAAATACAGCATCTCCCAGTGCTGTGAGGTCTGGCCTTGTTGGTTGGTTCCTGCGAGCTGTGCTTGAGTCTAGTTAAAGGCCCGTCCCAAAAGAATGCAATCTGATTGTGGGTGGGAGGCTGTTTTTAGGCCCTTTGCTCACCTCTCACTTCTATAATTGAGTGCCCTCCTCTGTATTAAAGGAAAACCATTTCTACAAGGATGAAAGTACAGTCATGCTGTCATAGGGGCTGGAATGGGTTGATCTGTCCTTCTGTGTTGAAAGTAAAGCAGATTATCTTACCTGTTACATCCTTATTCTAACAGGGAAGAGGAGGTGCTTTTGTCATCCCAAGATCATTTAGGAAAATGAATTCTAAACAAAATGAAAGCGAAGCCCTGAGTAATGCAAGTCAGAAGTGTGTTGTGTAACTGCTTCTAACAATAGGAACAAGTTCAATAAACAGTTCAGAAGAACAATATCCTGGTTGATTAAGATTTAACTTTTAGATACACAGATTTTTTTTTTAAGCTGTAGCTGGCATTTTAGGGCAGAATCAAAGCTATTAAAGCTTCCAAAGTAGTTCTGTGGTGAGTCCTTACTCCTCTTCAGTCTGGCCCATAAATATGTTCTAAAGTCTCATAGAGATGGATGGAATTTAACCATGTGTCTAAAATTAAGCACGTGCTTAAAGTTCTTTCTTGAATGGGTCTTAGATGACCATATTCAAAATTGCAGCTGTGATCTGCTGGGTGACAGGGGATTCTGGAAAACTTCATACTTGTATACATAGTTAAGTTTTATAGCTTTTGGCAATGTGTGCATGTATGTGTGAACGAATGTATACATTATATATAAACAGTGTGTGTGTGTGTGTGTGTGTGTGTGTGTGTGTGTGTGTGTGTGTGTGTGTGTGTGTGTATTAGAAGATTTACCCAGCATTGCTCAGGTCCTAAATTAATTTTTGGTTTTCTTCATTTAAATCATTGCTCTGGGGTGGGGCTGGGGATGAGAGGTTCAGTATGCAGGCTGCCCTGGGGAGAGAGCACAACCCCAGTCTTCTCTCATGACAGCAGCTTGGGGCCAAGTGAAAAGTGCCTCTTCATGGCTGCTGCAGCTCCAGCGAGCCCAGTCGTGAGTGGGATGCATGTCCCCTGACTGGGGCAGGTCCAGGTTCATCTGCTCCCGGCGCTCCCCAGCCAGAGTGAGGAATGGAACAAATTGAGCACTTTCCCCTCGCTCCCTAACAAAGGGGAACAGCCAGCAATGTACGTGTACAAATTAGGGAGTGGGCTTCAGTCCCTCTCCCCCCCCTTCCCCAAAGAGTGCCGGGGGGGGGGGGCAGGATTGGAGCAGTCCTGGATGGGGGGGGCATGCCCCCAGCCAGCCCCTTTCACCTGCCTGGTTTTCTGTCTCTTTTCTGTATGGTTTTATGTGTCCTCATAGGCATTGGGGGTGGGTAGCTTGCAGCCCTCCCCCCACACACATCCTTACCTTGCTTTAAGTTATGATAAGAGGAATATGCATACCGAATGTTGTGGTCCTAGCTCTTACCATTTAGGAGGAGTTCTTGAACAAACAGAGAGATGGACAGACAGACTTGCTCGCTCGCTCACAGAAAAGCGCTCTCAAATATTTAGTAGATATATGTTTATGTGTAATATATACACACACATAAGTTCATATATGAGATTTAGGGCCAGTTACTATGCATAAAGCATTCATTGCTTCCTTTTAGTTTGGCTGGTGTCCGATATAAAACAGAACTCAATGCCAAGAAAAAAGTCAGCTTCTAACATGCTGTTTTACTTTTGTTTTAGGCTCACAAAAGCCTTCTTGACTCACGACAGATGTAGTTAAACAAACACATCCTCCAAGAAGAAAAATGCACTTAACTGTGTTTTTGTTTGGTTTCTTCCCCCCTTCCCCCATGCTCCAAAAGGTTTTAATCTTTTTCTATTTGACTGGTCTATATCTTTATATATATAAAAAGTAATGCATCTAATCTGACTCAGATAGAACTCATGCTCTCTCTTCTGTTCGTCTATGATTTCATCAGTGCGCTGCTTTCTCCCCATCTTCGTCTTTTCGTTCCCAACAAAATCTCGCAAACAAATTCGGTCCTTGGTCTTTTTAGATCAGTGGTGTCTGTTTCAATAATTGGTGTATGTTTAGACAGTGATGTGTTAATCAATGGTTATAATACAGCCATTTCATTGTTACCATTCTGAGTCGTTAGTTACCAGCTCTGCTGGTAGGGATAACTGGTGCCTTCTGGGGAGAGGGTGCAGAGAGGACCACCCAGAGGGGTATAAGGGGGAGGTATGGAGGTACCCCATTTAGCAGTTAACATTTTGGAAAGGGGTACTTTGCATCCTTTCACGCTCACACACACACACACACACACACACACACACACACACACACACACACGCTACCACAGGTCACAGTGGATTTATGTGAGGCCTGTCAGTATTGAGCATGAACTTAAATGCTGACCTTCCTAAAGTCTGACTGTTCCCACCAGTTTCTTTCTTATGTTTTTACTAGCAAAGAAGAGAGGCCTGTTGATCATGTTTTTCCAAACTGAATCATCCCATCTGTTTTCTAAAGGAGAGGTCAATTTTTAATCCGTGTCTTTTCAAAACCCTGGGCAGGTGAAAAACTCGACCGGCTGACTGGCCCAAGAAACATCAAATCTCCAGTATCAAAACTCGGTGGTGCCATGTCTGGATTGCAGATGCTCCCTGAGTGCACCAGATGTGGCAATGGGATCGTGTAAGTAAAGGATCTCTCCAGAGCATTAGCCGTCAATAACACCATGCAGTGGAGTGGGACAGTTAGCTCTTCACAGGACTTCTGCTGTGATCATTGTTCCCTCTAAACTTTTCCAGCCATATGCAGATTTTTCCATCCACATGCAGAATAATTTATATGCACCAAAGCATGTGGGAATGTGCACCACCAGTAGAAACATAAACCTAGCTATAGGTGCTCTGCTAATCAGCGAGGCACTATTTGAATCTCTCCTGAGAGGCTTCACACGCACACAGCTTACAGGGAGCACTGTGATCAGGGATGGATGAGAGTTTTGCGGGGCCCAGGGCACGGGGCCTATTGAAGCGCGGGGCCCGGGGCAGCACAATTTCGCACATGCACAGGGCCTGGGGCAGCCACCCTGCTCGCCCTGCCCTATATCCGCCGCTGGCTGTGATATTCATCTAGTAGAAGTGCGTGTATTAATACATACAGCACAGTCCTCCCAGGCTTCATATTTTTTGCCAGCCATCCCTGTACACAAGACATAACACTGAAATAAGGTGACATTTTGCAGTACAGTTGGGGTTACCTTTTTAAGAGGCAAAGAAATATGACCATGATAATGATGTAGCAATGATTTCTAATGAAGCGCGTGATCTTACCATACTTATTATAATATACTGGCCCAATGCACATGAATGGTCTCAGAAATTATTGCAGGCCTTTTATTACCCCACACCAGAGTTCTTATTTGGCTCAAATGGGAGAGGCCTGAGTATGTCATGGAGAAGTAGCTCAGTTCAGACCTGGTGGATGGCTGTATGTCTTAGGGCAGTGTTTCTTAAACTTTTTAAGACCGAGGAACACCAAACAATAATTTTTTTTTTTAATGAGGAACACCAATGATTTTTTGTTGAGGAGAAAAAAAGGGGAGAGGGTCAGAGGGGAAAGTTATTGAGGGAAAAAAAGGTCGCCTGCCCCTTTAAGGGTGGCCATTTTGAACTCTGTTGTTCTCCGTGGCACACTTCTGACTGCCTCGCGGCACACTGGTGCGCCACGGAACACAGTTTAAGAAACACTGTTGTAGGGTCTTGTCTACTCGACTAGCCTTGCAGTGCTGGGTTGTTTGGGGCAAGGGGGTTGAGAAAACTCCCACTGTTGCAGTGTTGTAGAGAGAATACATGCATTTTTACCAGCCGTTTAGAGGGTGTCCGCGCCGGACTTGCTGACAACATGGTAACGTTCCTGTGCACTGTTTGTCTTCACATTTCCATCAGTGTTATCACGGCTGGGAAGGGGAGGGAGCGCAGAGGTGGAAAATATCCCCAAAGCAGCTGGTGTGGACAGAGCCTGTGTGTATGAAGATCTTTCATTACATTAGTGTGAGAAAGGGCTAATGCTGTAGCCTAAGGGGATGGCTCCCTGCTCTCACAGAGAGGTCTTGCCATCATCCTGGCTCAGTATAATCCTCCAGACGCAGCATCATGCCAAGACATGGGGTAAGGCACTCAGGCTGTGAAGCAGCAACCCACAGGAATAGGAAAGGGCTAACCATGGACATCCCTTCGAGGTCCGATCTTTGAAGGGGCCTAGTGTGTCATGGAAGGTACTGAGCACCACACACGCACATCACCCTTGAAATTAACTGAATGTTGATCTGTGCGCTGCACTGTACAGAAAGTGAAGGAGACACAATTCCCCACCCAGTGAGTTTACATCTAAACAATGTCAACAAGGCAGGGGAGGTGATATCTTTTTACAGAAGTTTACTAAGAGAAGTTGATCCAGTAAAAGACATTACCTCACCCCCCGGCCTTTGAGGAATGGGGGGACAGACGAAGGCTGTTAGGCTTTGAGAAAGAAATGGGATTTCAAGGAAGAGGTAAAGAAGGAGCAGTTGTGGAAAGGCCACACTGGAATGGGAAGGGTGTCTGGGGCAAAGGTGACCGTGTGGGAAGTGCTGCGGAGACAGGCAGGGAAGAAGGAAAGAGGAGGACCAGGTGAGAGGGGTATGCGGGGGGATCATGATGGAGTTGTGCAGCACCTTGAAACTGAGGAGAGCTTGATCCAGAAGGCAGGAGGGAACCAGTCCAGCGCTTGAAGCACTGAAGTTAGCAGGGATTTTGCTACTGACATCAGTGGGAGCAGGATTGGGCCCTGGAGGGAGCAGTGAAGCTGCTGTTGCTTCTGATGTCAGCCTGGTTTGTAACCTGTCTTCTCTTACACTCGACAGAGGGACAATCGTCAAAGCTCGGGACAAGCTCTACCACCCAGAATGTTTCATGTGCGATGACTGTGGCCTAAACCTGAAGCAGAGGGGGTATTTCTTCATCGAGGAGCAGCTGTACTGCGAAACGCATGCCAAGGAAAGGGTTAAGCCCCCTGAAGGATATGATGTTGTGGCTGTTTATCCAAACGCTAAAGTTGAACTTGTCTAAGTGCGTACTCTATTCCTGGAGAGGTCAAAAGGCAACTCGCCCACCCACACACACGCCGCTAGTTTTAAAATATGTCTGTAATCAACTCCGATTACTAGCGGCTCAGTAAAATGCCTATTCATAGATAAAGTGCTTTACACTAGGGATATCAAGGGGATGGTGTTGAAAGCGTATGAGCAGGTTTTTTCCTTCCTTTTGACGCTCTGCTTTTGGGTTGTGCTGAGTTTTTAAATAATTTCTGCCTTTGCCTTGTCCAAGATCTGTGTAAATATTGATTAATTTTCTACTATGTTTCATATAAAACCAGTATTCTGTTTTCCCCCCTCTTCATTTTAAAATGTAAGGAAAACATTTTAAAAGCTCAAAGAAAATAAGGCACTTTGACAAAAGAAACTAACATTGCATTGCTTTAGATTCAGACCTTTCGGTAACACATCGCTCACTGGCTTTGAGTGCTAAAAAAATTGAGACCAGGTGGAAGCTGTGGTCCAGCAATACAGCACTGGTAATGGTGTTGAGAGAGTTTTATACAAGATCTGATATTAAGCAGAGATGACTGTCCTGGGCAAAAATGGTCTTTTTTTAAAAGTAGTCACAATGAAATTCACTAGTTACATGACATGGCATTCGCCCGATCTACAGACCTGATCAAGATTTCAATCAAACAGAACTGAAAAAGCACTGTACACCTGCTGTGAGGTTTGCTTTTCTATTTTCTTGTAGTTTCTGGAATTCTGTAGTGTTTAATGCTTAGGACCTTGAAATAGTACTGGAGCTGCCTGGGCGATTCCTGAACTGATCTTCAGCTCCTAAGCTTGCCTGCCTTGTTCATCCTCCAGCAACAGGTATCTTTTGTTCATCATAGGCCTGATCCAGCTTTTGCTGTTTTCAGTGGCCTCTAGAATTGTACAGAAGCTCTTTGTAATTTCACGGCTGTGGAACCAGTAGTAAAATCCATCACAAATGTAGTAAGTAACATGAAAACTGGAAAATGCAGGTCGGAGCTCCCTCTTTCTCATCTTTCTGATCTAGAGGGATCAGATTTAGACCCACTGCTGCTCAGCCCAATGCTGAGCCATTAACAAGGTCTGGTTTCCCTTTTGTTTTGGAGAAATTTTTGGTTTTCTTGAGAGACAAGTTTTGCCCTGGTGTTTGGAGCTTTTTCTTTTTCTTGGGCGTCCTGCTGGGACGGCCTCCAATATTGGCTGAACGCAGAGCCGTTTTGCAAGCTGGGAGCTGAGATCGCCACTCATGCTAATAGAAGCCATGTGGCCAATTTCCCCCATGCACTGCTTTGGAAACCCTACCCCTTCATTACCAGCACATTAAAAAGAAGAAGCCTGGAAACATTTTTCTTTTAGAAAGGTCATGTCTGCTGCTGTAGGCAGTAGGATGCAGTTGCTACACTAATCAACAGACACTAAGCAGCACATGCGATTAGTCCACCCATAGGGACTGAAGTTGCTCTCCAGATAGAATTAGAGCACATATCTCTGTGAACACTGCTGGACTGTAGTTCCCCCAACTTCCTTTGGCATCAGTGGGGGCTGAAAACACTCAGCTTGCAGGAATATGTAACCTTTCAGCTTGTCACAGGGCAAGCCTACCTGTTCCCCTTTGGGGGCGGGAAGGGTGTTGGGCCTCTGAAACCCCTTGAGTAGTGCTCAACCCCGCATGTGTCCTAATGGCCACAGTCAATAGTAAAACCTTTAAAACAGAACAGCAGGGGGAAATCACCTTTTTTGTGCATCAGAAAGCTGAAAGTAGAACTGCATGTACATCTTTTATACTGCAGAACCCCTGCTGACCCCACTCCCGGGGAGCCAGCATGTAACCATAACGGAAACTGATGAGCTGATGCTTATCGAGTACTGTTTAAATGGTTACACTTTTCTATCCCTAGCATCGTCACTATAATGATGCGTCTCTGTGCACTTCCTCTGTAAAATATCACTTGTGGTTTCTTTCCTTTAGCTTCATTGTTCCACTTCATTGTTCCAGAAAGTTTGTGTTCACTCTCTCATGTGTTCTTTAGCTAATTGTCTGCTTAATAAGAAGTAATGGTAGTCGAGTAATGGGGGTCAAGAGATACGGGATGTGCTGCCATAGGTTTCCTGTGAGACCTTGGGCAAGTCATTTAACCCCTCTTGCCACCTCGGTTTCCACAGGTGTTAGACTTCTTCATAGCATAGTTGTGAATCTGAGTTCCTGTTGTCAAGCACCTTGACATACTCAGCTGGAAGATGGGAAGGAAGCATGCAGTATTGTTTAATCAAACACCAAGGTTCAAGTTTGAAAGTCATTTTCCCCTATTGTAAGTTCCCTCTCTCAGAAAGCCATTGCTTAGTATTATCAGATATGGGTCACAAGCATGTATGCTCACTGGCAGGGCTCGACAAATCACTGAATCTACTCGCCCCAGTCACCCCGTTCACCGGCAGTGCGCGCATGCGCAATGTGGGTCTTGCGTGTGCGCAGTGCGGGGTGGGAGAGTAGATTTCGCTGCTGTTTGTCAAGCCCTGTTCATTGGGTTTGCTTGACTTGAAACAGACACTTTACACTCCTCTGATTCCTGCAGATAAATAGTCAAAACATCTCTTCCCTCACTATTCAGAGATTTGCAGCGCCAAAGAATGACAGCTAATGCCAGATCAGCATGTGAAATAATAATCATATAGTGACCCAGCAGTAAGTCAGAACCAATAGGATTGAGCGCAGGCTTGAGTGGGCAGGAGGAAGTGCACTGCGAGGTTGGCCTACCCAGCTTTTCCAAATGGATTATTGTGAGAACGACATATTTGTCAGGTGGAGTCATCTATCACTGTCCAGTACCTTGGACTTCTGTTCAACTCCATTTATAAGGCAGTTTTTCACACTGCAGGTGTCCAGCATGCTCTTCAGATGTCTTGTAATGGTAGCAGGAGGCGCAACTTAGACAGTCACACATTGCTTCATTACCCTGGTGTTTAAATGAATAAATCAAGTAAACCGTTCACTTAGGGATCCTCAGGGGGTCTCACTTAACTGTTACATAAACAACAATGCTGGCAAGATCTGAGGTAAGGAATTCAAACATACCTCTCTTTTTATTTGAAAATAATTCCCACAAATCAACATTTCCATACAGTTGTCTCATAGCCACTCTTCCTTATGAGTAATTAACTCACTTGATTCCCCCCTCTCTCCTCCCAAGTAGCTTAAAATGGAGCCACCTCACACAGTAATATCCTATGGTAAATTAGTTTCAGGACATATTCCATTTCACTGACATTATTTGTATTGTAACAAATGGCTAAAACTAGGCTGCTGTTCCGCTTGCTTTGCCAGGCTAGTGACAGGAATGAACTGTGTAAATACCGTAAGCATCTGTTAACTCTGTTATTTAACTCTGTAAAGCGTTTGGGGGAGACCGTTTGTATGAAATGCCAAATAAAGTTGTACTGTCAGTTTCATGTATCTCATTGATTATAGTTCGGTTGTTCATTTATCTAGCAACGAAGCTCTTCATTGTCCTAGTAGGCCCTGCATAACATATGAGTATTGTTCCCACAGTGTCCAAACACAAGTGGATACAGGGTATGCCGTTTCAGCTTAAACCAGGGAAGTGGAAGTGTAACCATTACTTAATCACATTTTAACATCCCTAATATAAGTAGAAGGTACATGTTCTTGGGTATAGATTTCCTCTGGGAAATAATGTTATTGATTTATTGTGTTTGCAGTGTTGTTGAAATCACGTTGGTCCTAAGATATTAGAGACACAGTGTGAGTGGGGTAATATCTTTTACTGGACCAGCTGCTAGACCCAAAGAGGAGTTCTGTGTAGCTTGAAAGTTTGTACCTTCCATCAACAGAAGTTGGTCCAGTACAAGGTACTATCTCTGTTATTGATTTATGACCGTATTCTTTCCCAAAGGACAGAGTATTCTTGAGGTATGAGAGCAAAGAATTAATGCCATTTGACTTGGTATGTACATAAATACTCTTTATACAGAAGAGCTATCATTGCTTTATGCTTCCAAGCAAGCCCCTCTATCATCTCTGGGAAAGGAATGGACAGTTGGTGGATTAAGTTTGGTTGGATTAAGAATGCTGATTGTGTTCATATTGCTCACTTATTCTTGTCTTAAAGATGACTCTGGACCTGTATGTAAGCATCCAAGTAACTTTACTTAGAAGAGTATTCTCATTGCATCTAATGGGGTTACTTGACTGAGTGAAGTTACTCATAGAATCGTAGAAGTTAAAGGGACCTCGTTAGCTCATCTAGTCCAGTCCCCTGCATTCAAGACAGGACTACATAGTAACTAAACCGTTTCTAACTGATATTTGACTAACCTTTTTTTAAAAAAAAAAAAAAAAACTTCCAATGACAAGAGATTTCACAACTTCCCTTAGCAACTTGTTCTGGTGCTTAACCCTGATAGTTAGCTTTTTTCTTAATGTCCGACCTAAACCTCCCTTTCTGCAATTTCAGCCCATTTCTTCTTGTCCCATCCTTAGAGATTAACAAGAACAATTTTTCACCTTCCTCCTTGTAACAACCAGTTAGGTACTTGAAAACACTTTATGAAGTTCCCCACTCAGTTCTCTCTTTTTCAGACTAAACAAACCCAGGTTTTTTTCAGTCTTTCCTTGGTAGGCCATGTTTTCTAGACCTTTAATCATTTTTGTTGCTCTAGACTTTCTCCAATTTGTCTACATCTTTCCTGGAATGTGGTGGCTGGAACTGGACACATGCTAAGCATTGGCAGGATCTACCCCAAGAGAAGTGTCCTGCCGTGCCAAATGGTACAGATCTGAACTGCAATGGAGTTTTCCTTTCATTAACTGTTCATTCTTTGAGATTCCCTTCCCTAGCTCACACATAGACTGTCTGCCCACATACCAACATGGCTATTCTAACTATCTAAGCATTGGAGTACCCCAGCCATTCCCCCCTTTTACCAAGAAGAATCATGTATTGCAGTCTCAGAAGGGACTAGTGCAAGAGATATTCTAGTGACGTGTTTCTTAAACTGTGTTCTGGGGCACACCAGTGTGCCGTGAGGCAGTCAGAGGTGTGCTGCGGAGAACAACAGAGTTCAAAATGGCCGCCCTTAAAGTGGCAGGTGCCTTTTTTTGTTCAATTACTCTCCCCCTCCCTCGCAAAAAACCCTTGGTGTTCATCATTAAAAAAATATATTGTTTGGTGTTCCTCGGTCTTAAAAAGTTTAAGAAACACTAATTTAGATGATGGCATAGAGAGGTACGTTTATAACCGTGTGTCCTACATCACCCAAGGTGCGCTCCCTCTCCCCCCCCCCAGCAACCCTGAGAGCAGGTTTGCTGCCTTCACAGTGGCTTTTTGCTGCCAGAGCCATCAGAATCAGGTCCAGGATATAAACCCCAGACTACTGCTGGCTGACTGGTGCTGGGACAAGAGTCACTACTAGAGAATTTGGTTGGAGATTCTTTTCTGGAAGAGATTGTGGCTCTGTTATTCGGACCATTGGTTTTCCCAGCTGGATGGATATGGGGCGACTTACCCACAATGAGGTTCACTGTGCACTTTACCAGACCTCTTTCCC